GTCCTAAGAGGATTTAAACCATTAGTACACCCAGGGGAGGCTGCGGGGCCTTCCTGGGCCCTAGTTATGATCGGCTCCCTCCATGGATTTGGCACGGCCTTCAAGGTGGTTCATGTTCTTTCTGCTTTTTAAAAAATTAACTTTGTCTTTGTCCCCGAGTGGAAAATGAATATATGCTCATTACAGAAAATCTGGGGAAATAGAGATTAGAAGAAAGAAGAGAAAATAAATAAAAAATTGGTTTTTCTAATGCAGTATAACTGCCGCTCCTTTAGGCACAGGGCCTGGCCTGGACAGGGGGCAGAGACCCTCTGGCCTGTGTGGTGAGCAGACCATACATAGGCTTCAGGAAGGGCTCACCGGGCCCCTCACGCTTGACCATAGCCAGTCAGAGCAGAGCAGACGAGCGTTGCTATATTTAATTTTGACGTCTGCGTCACCTCTGACCACACACACGGTGCAGGGCTGGGGGCGTTTCCGAACACGCTGTGAGAGAATCACTTTCCACAGAGAAGGCATTGTGGCGGGGAAGACAGAAAGAAAGACAGCTACAGAAAGTGAGGTCGTAAGTAGAAAACTGATTCTGGGATTTCAAATGGCTTCGTCATGGGGCCCTCCCTTGCTGCTGAGAAATCAGTTGATCTGGGAAAGTTTGTTGCACACCGTTTGCACTGTTGCTTTTGGGTGGAGTCGAGACATGAATGAAGATAACAAGGCTTTATGACCTTTGCCTTTCAGGCTAGGAGTGGGCAGTGTGTGGGGAGCAGGTGGTGGTGGACACAGCTGTCAGCTCTGACACCAGCTGGGGGCTCACAACTGGCTGTGTGTCCAGGCCAGGCTGCTTCGTCTGTACCACAGCCAGCCTTGCCCGGCTAGGCCTCCTTAGAAGGGAATCAGCTGAAGGAAGGAACAGTTTTTGAGCTTATTAAAATTGACCAGCTAAATTAAGATGAACCTGATAAGCAGGACACTTCCCTGTTGATCTTAATAAAACACTGACGAGCGGATGGACCCATCAACCCCAGCCTCACTCTGCCTGTCAGACGGAAACAAGAGGCCACCCTCGCCTTCCTAGCCCAGCTCCTTCTCATTGTGAGCAGTTCAGAGGGGAGACCTCGGAGAAACCCCTAAAGTGCCTTGGAGTGTTTTCTGACACCTTATCTGAGCAGCGAGCAGAAGTGTTTGGTGCAGAGCTCACCGGAAATGCTTTTGTGTCTCAGTTCTTGCTTGAGCCTCAGCCCCTCTTCTAGTGAAACCTCCCGGCTGGGGTTCCCGAGGTACCATGGCCTCCCTGCCCCGGGCCCCACGACCAGCTTCTCCTCCCACTCACCAGCCATCTTAACTCTTCCTCAGCCCCTTCCCCCTCGGGCCCTGCAAGGGTTTGCCTTGTGCATGAAAGGAGTTAGACATGTGGGTAGAGAAAACTCCCCACAAAGGCCCCACGGGGGTCAGTCTCCAGGTAATGATGCTCCGCAAACCGACGCACACCTTTTTTTCTGTTTCTGTTTCTTTCTCTCTCATTCCTGGCTGGGTCCACCTCCCCGTTGCCACCAGCAGTGGCTTGTTTCTGTGGCTCTGTGAGGCGTCCCCCACTCCTTGAGGCCCCTAGCCACCTTCAGCTCACTGCCCACCACGAGTGACCACAGGCTCCCTGCCTGAGGTATGGCCAGAGCTGCTGCAGCTGCGGAGCTGGTGAGCACGGACCCCTAGTGGTGAGGACCGGGAGGGCCCTGTCTGCTGTGCACCCAGCCCCATAAAGTCAAACCAAACCTGTTGCCGTCCAGTCCATTCTGACTAATAGCGAACCTGTAGGACAGAGTAGAACTGCCCATAGGGTTTTTAAGGCTATAATCTTTATGGAAGTCGACTGCTGCATCTTCCTCCTGCAGAGCAGCTGGTGGATTTGAACCGCAACCTCTTGGTTAGCAGCCAAGCACTTTACCACTGTGCCACCAGGGCTCCTTCCCAGCCCCATAGGCCCTCCGCAAACATGGCTTGGAAAACATCCTAGGAAAATGCTAAAGGGCCCTTACCCATGCCAGCATTAATCCCAGTCTTTGTTCTTGGGGTTCATGTGGAATCTGACTGGAAGTCACACCTTCTCTCTGGACAGACAGGCCAGTGCCTTGGTGGGGTGGAGAGGACCTAAGTCAAAGGTGTTACTACTGAAGGATGGATCTCTAGGTTCTATTAAAAAACAAAATGTCCATAAATATCATTCTGGTCTTAAAATCCTAGAATCTCTGAGTGGGGAAGGACAGCCAAGATCATTGTCTCCCATCCCACGCCTGGCTTCTGAGTCTCATCAACATCCCAGGTAGCCGTTTGCTTGCCAGCCTCCAGAGGTGAGACCCTCCCAGAGTGAAGCCTCCTTCTCCATACTTTCTTTTTTTTTTTTTTTTTAAGGGTTCTTTCTGGTGCTAAACCTTGAGGGCATGTGGTGTCTTGATTAGCGCTGGCGCAGGTGGGTGGTGCAGGGCGGGTGTCCTCAGCAAATGTAGAACTGAGCATCCCTTGCCCGGATGGCCCATTGACACTAGTTGGCTCCTGGGCCCCCTCCCCAGATCTTCTTTGCTCTGGGCTGGGCATCCTCACTCCTGCACTGTCAGCCTTGCCTTCTTCCCGCTCCTCTCCTTAGGTGGAAGCCAGCCATCCTGTTTGAGAGTACCACTCCTCACTTATCTACATGGTTAGGTTCCAAAGACCAGGTCATTATGCAAAAATTGGCATCATGCAAAAATGGAGGATGACCACATCAGATCACAAAATAGAGGATGACTACATCATTACATAACTGGCAAATTACGTCATTACATAACTGCCAAATTACATCAGTACATAACTACCAAACCACTGAGAATCATGGCCCAGCCAAGGTGACACATAACCTTAACCATCACTGCCAGCGTTATCTCACCTCGTGCCTCTGTGTCCATTACTGCCAGACATGTGTAGTTAATGTGCAAAGTAGTCGGAGAGTAGATTTTTTACTGTTGTCGTAAATGCAAAATGTCAGATAACCAAAGAGTCAATAAGTGAGGAGTAGCTGCAGTTCCTGGGGCATCCGGCCCACGGTCATCAGCTCCCTGGCCAAGTCTCTGCCGTGTTCCCTGTCGTCTGAATCACACACATCCGAGAACTCCTACTGCTCCCAGGATGCTGCCTTCCCTAACTTGTGAGTGTGACCATGGGTGTTCCCACAGGGCTCCAGGCTCCCCAGGGAAGACACCGGTCTGCCACTCCGAGTTTCAGATTTGGTGTTGCGTGACCCAGCATGAGTGAGACCCACCAGCCTCCGCAAAGGCATCCCATCCCTCTGGGGCAGCCTTCTGCCCTGGGCACCTCCCCAAGATTTCCAGCGGAAACCGTTGCTGTGACGCACAGCTGTTGGCTGTGGCGTGGGGAGGCCTGCTGGCTCCAGACATCAAGGCACTGGTGGGGTCAAGGGTGAAACAGACCTGCTCTGACGAGTGGTCTGGCCAGGGCTTCTGTGACCTCAGGTCTCTACCCTAGTCCTTCCAGTCCAGATGCTCCCGCATTCATTGTTTGTCTCTGTTCACAGAGGTGGTGAGTATGCACTAATGATAAGAGGCATCCGGAAATTGAAAGGGCTCTCCCTAAAAAGCAGGTAGTGAGCTCCCTTCCAGAGGTTGATGGCAATATTATAAAGGGAAATTGTGCGTTCAGGCCGGATGATATTTGGACAGAGAGAGGCAGGGTGGTTAATTGTGTGGCCTTTGGAGTTGCAGTGATTTGGGTTCAAATCCTGGCTTTGTTCTTTATTAGCTGTGTGACTTTGGGTAAGTCACCTGCCCTCACTGAGCCCAGAGTCCTCATGTCCCTCCTGGGTTGTGAGGGAGACACAGAGGGTGTATGGGAGGTGCCAGACACAGCCTGGCCACTCATCAAGAGATGTGATCATGAGATGATTTCTGAGGTCTCTGCCTGCTCCAGACGCCCTCCTTGAACCCCAACATCCGGGCCATGCTTCCTCCTCCTTGCTGGTAAGGGTGGGAGATGTGGGGCATGAGGATTGAGGGCGGGCTTCCCCCAGGCCATATTCCCACATCTCAGGGGCTTGCTTACTTTCTTTCAGCCCAGGTCTCACGTCTCACTACCTCCGCCCCAACCTCCTACCAATCCTCTAGCTCTTTCTTCTCCAATGGTCCTGCTTCCCACAGTCTTGAAACCACAGACCAGCATTCCCAACACCCAAACAAAGGCAAAGGCCAGCAGGCTTCTTTTGTTACTATCCAGTAACTTTATTTCCAGCTTTTGTTCTGACCCAGTCAATGAAACAATTTAGTCATTGACCCCTCCCCCAATACACACACCCCCATATCAGCAACCTTCTAGGCCGCTCTTCTATATATATTAACTCTTTGATAACATATTTTAATACTTTAACTTTAAATACAAGGGAAAACAATAAATTACTCCTTGGCTGCAGGCTGACTGCTGGCTGCAGACGGGAGCGCCGAGGCCCAGGGCCCAGGGCCCAATGAGGTAGCAGAATATCGCACACAGTACTTATTGTCCAGGCCTCCTAACGCTTGCTGCTTAGTGCTGGAGCGGTGAGTCTCCGGCCCTAGCTCCAAGATCTGGCCGCACCAGTCCCTCCCTATCCCAATACGGACAAACACACTGTTTAAATAACATACAATAATAAATAAGACCAAGAGGAAATGTGCCTGAGCTGCTCTCTGCCTCAGTCGTCCCCATATGAAGTGGGTCCCTCTCCCACCATAGACTAGCAAGGGTAGCACCCTTAATGCTAGTTTGCTCTGAGGAGGGGGAGTGGGTGGAGGGCAATGTCTTCCCCCTCGTCCACCAAGCTCCTGGATGGTGGAGGCCCTCCTGGCTGCGCCCTGGGGACCAAGGAAGGGGCGGCTGAAGCCAGGCAGCACAGGCTGAGATCTAAACTAAGGAAATCCTATCCCCCTCCCCCAACCCTGCCCCAGCGCATTTTTGACATCTGAAAGAAAAATGAATCTGCGACGTAAACATTCAGGGTCTGTCTCTGCAAATCATGCCACGAGCTTTCCATGCTTCAGTTAACAGGTCCATGGCGGAAAATGTTCCTTAAACGTTCAAGCAGGTTCTTTATGAAGCTGGTCAGTTCGATCTTGGTGTCTCGGACTTTCAGGCTGGAAACCTGCTGTAGAACAAAGAGGGCCGCAGGTTAGCGGGGCGCCTCCAGCAAGGAGGCTTTCCAGACTGGCTCATTTAATTCTCACAAAGCCCACATTTCACAGATGTGGGAACAGGCTCAGGTGGGAGTCAGGAGCCCTTAAGTCCAGGTCCTGTAAATCCCAAAGGCCATGTCCCCGCTGCCACAGTGACTCACCCCTGGACACGCACCTCAGGTTCCCCCAGAGCTGCCAGGGTGATCCCAGGGCTGGGGAGGATGTGAGGCTGGCAGGAGAGGGTGAGGGTAGGACCCGGGGGCAGACTTACACTGGCTGGGGCCTTGTGTTGTATACATGCGCTGCTTAGTATCCTCTTGGTATTTTGGATGGCTTTGCAGTCAGAGACGTTGCTTAGGGCTTCTACTGCTGCACAGTACTGCCAGGAAGAGACCACCGAGATGTCAGGCCCTGTGGGCCTCACTCCAGCCCCTGGTTCAGGATGGCTTCCCACAATGAGCTTACAGGAGGAGGGGCTGAGTGGCCTCTCGGAGGTGGGTCTGGGTGGTGAGAAGGGCTGATTATGAAGACAGAGGGTAGCACTTGAAGCTTTCTTGGAACCCCCCAGCGGTATGAGTGAGGCTCAGAGAAGGTAAACCCAAGGCCTAGGGCCTCTGCCCCCTCCCCCTCAGCATCCAGGGGACTTACCACATTGGTCGTCGTCAGGTTGACACTCCACACCATGCTGCCATTGCACAGGGGGGTCTGAGGAAGCAACAAGACAATGAGCAGAGTGCCAGCAGTGGTGCTAGCCACCCCGAGCCAGCCTGAAAGGATCAGGCCACACCAGCACCCCGGTGATAGCACAGGAGCAGGCCTGGCAGCCCTCATTGTTCCCGAGCTTTGTTCCTGCTCTGCATCGTGAGGGAGACCCATCGTGCAAGGTCTTGGGGCCGAGAAAAACTGAGTAGTGACACTTCAGGTAAGGGACAAGCCTTGGGCAAAGCTCGCCAGGGCCGGGGCAGGATGACAGAAGACGCCGGGCCTAGGGCACCTTGAGGGCACCTCATGGGAGGAGGTTGCCTGGGCCACTGGTGGCCAGGACACATCAGATGGGAGGTGGTGGGGTCTGGGGTGTAAACACCCTGCTTTCTGAACTGAGGAACACAGAAGTTGGGGGCACAGACACTGGGGTCAGCCAGGCCTAGTTCGAATCAGTCTCTGCCATTTATAGACTGTATGTCCGTAAGCAAGTCAGTTCACCTCACTGAACCTTAGTCAGTGAAATGGGGTCAATGTACCTGCCTGTGAGGCTGTTTGCAGAGGTGAAATGAGATGCAAGTCCCCCAGCGCTGGCCTGACACATAATATGTGCTCAGAAAGTGTGAGCTGTTACTAGTAGGGAGAGGAGTTGACTCTAGTAAAGAGTCGTTTCGTAAGAATGGACTTAACTAGATGTTATGAATAATGACCCCATTATTGTGTTCAAAATCCAGTCGGCAAATGCCAAATGGTTCAGGAAGAGTGCTGGCCCTCCTCTGCCCCTCTGTTCCAGAATGCCTGAGTAGGATCTGGAGTTGGCAGGCAGGGCCAGACCAGGGGAGCAGGTGATCCCTGGGGGCTCTGCCAAACTCCTTCACAGCTCCAGCCATCTTTTTGCCCCTCAGCCCGGGTCCTCTCTCTGCCTTGTAGTGGGGCCCATCCCCTGGTCTCTGGGGCTCCTTCCCGACCCACAGGCAGACTAGGCTCAGGCCCTCCACCCTGAGAGCTGGGGGCCTGGCTGGTGGGCACTCACCTTCTGGTTCTGTGTGATGTTGATCAGCTCCCCAATGAGCTCCTGAAGGACCTTGGTGTGATGATAATACACAGGGACCGGGGAGGCGAGACCGCCAACGCAGGTGAGAGCAATGACCACAGTCAACCAGAGTGCCATGGTGCCCGGAGCTAACACAGTAGCAGTGAGGAGCAGACACGCAGGCTGGCCTAAGCTGAGCAGCTGTGGCTTTGGCCTCTGGTGGCAGCTTTTATAGGCCCGAGGGGTGACGCCTTACACCCGGGTCTCCGCTTTATCGGGTATTATCTAGAAACCACATCTTTACTCATCTTGATTCTACTTTGTGGAAAATCCAGTGTCGCGTAAAGGAAAGAGTTTGATTTCTCGTGGACTTATTGAGGAGGGCCTGGGGCAGAGCTTCCAAGATCTGGATGAGCTTACTCCAAGCAGTGGGTGAGAGGGCCCTGGGGAGGGGTCTGGTGTCAGCGGTGCCGGCTTAAGCGCCATCAGTTTTGCTTCGTGACCACCCTGAATGCCTGCTCAGCAGACCCCTTGGGGTCACCAGAAGTGCTGGGCAGTCAGTGCTGTGACCACAGTGTACCAGTGGTGGGAATTTTGGGGCTTTATTTTTACAATTAACTGGTCTATTAAATTACCAAAGTAATACATGCTTTGGATAAAAATTCAAACAGGACAAAAGGGGAAGAGTAAAGTTCCCCTCTGTGACCTACCTGATTCCCCTTGATGATATGGTGGGAAGGATTCTGGGCTCCTCCTGGACCTTCCTTTTTTTTTTTTTATTGGTGTAGTTTAGATGAAGTTTACATTTCAAGTTAGTCTCCCATACAAAAATTTATACATACATTGTTATGTGACCCTAATTGCTCTTCCCATAGTGTGACAGCACACTCCTTTCCACCCGATTACCCATGTCCATTCAACCAGCTCCGAACCCTCTCTGCCTTCCCATCTCACCTCTGGACAGAAGCTGCCCATTTAGTCTTTTGTATCTACTTAAGCTAAGAGGCACACTCCTCATGAGTGTCACTTTATGTCCCACAGTGCAGTCCAATCCCTATCTGAAGAGTTGGCGTCAGAAACTGTTTTAGTTCTGGGCTGATAGAGAATCCAGGGGCCATGCTTCCTGGGGTTTCTTCAGTCTCATTCAATTAAGTCTAGTCTTCTTACCAGAATTTGAGTTCTGCACCCCACCTTTCTCCTGCTCCATCAGGGACTCTCTGTTGTCTTCCCTGTCAGGGTGGTCACTGGTGGTAGCCGGGCACCATCCAGTTCTTCTGGTCTCAGGCTGATGGAGTCTTTGGTTTATGTGGCACTTTCTGTCTCTTGGGCTAATACTTTCCTTGTGTCTTTGGTGTTCTTCATTCTCCTTTACTCCAGGTGGTTGGGAACAATTGATGCATCTTTGGACCTTCCCTTTTTGAAGTCACTTTGATGATGACTCTGAGCATGGGCAGCCTGGACACTGGGGGACTGCCCAGGTCTCCAGTCACGGGCCATCCTGCTGGAAACCCCTTAAGGGGCCAGCTAGCAGCAGGCAGCTCAGCCTTAGCCCAGGTAGGAGAGCGTAACTGTTTGCAGTGCTGATGGGACCCCAGGAGACAGCTTTGCCCACCAGTCTCTGTGGGATGAGAGCTGTGGAGGGCAGCCCTGGGTCTGTCCTGGCTCTGGGTCCCCTGCCAGCTACCCAGTGGTGTCACCAGGGTTGGTGTCACACAGTGTAGTAACTCAGGGTGTCACCCCTCCCCCCAGTACCTCTAGACCATACAGAATCCTTAGTAATGTTTTTTGTACTAATGTTACACGTAAATCATAATTCCTGTATATCACTGAATGTAATGGCAATAGTAGCGACATAAACAACTAGTAAAATTAAAATTACACCTTTAAATTACAATATCATACACACAACCTAAATGTTGTGAAACATTTACATAGTTTCATGTGGTTAAAGTGAAAATTCGCTAAAAAAAACAGGACAATCCAAAGTAAAAACGTTTAAGAACTACATCAAAATTATGTTCATTTTAATGATAAAATTTACCATTACATGAGATACATTAATGAACTACGTTTGCATGATCAGTAACAGCTCAAATAATGTAGAAGTTGTAGACAAATGTATATGAAAATATATTCAGAAATGACATACCATAAAACTAAACAGGAACAAATACACAAGCATTTCAGCACTTAGTGAACATCTCAACTAAATATGTGATATAGCTGTAAATTGCTTAAATGTAGTATTTCCTAGATTATATGAGTACTAACGACAAAATTGTTATGTAAAATCTTTCTACGTTGAATTACATTATTTGTAACTGAGCAGAAGCCTTTTTTGATTTTTCTCCTTTTCCTTTAATTACTACTTCACTCAAAAAAATTATTGATATATGTTCACAAATACTAATTCCCACAATATTGTAGCTAAAACAACAGAAAATTTGACAAAATCAGTGACTATAAAAACACTGGCAGCAATTAAAGGAAAGCTGTGCTTGAGTGTGTGCAGATGAAACCACGTGTAACTGGATAATGATGACAGCTCTGACCAGAGCTCATTAGAAGGTTCAAAAAGTAAATTAGCATAGAGTTTTAGCCTTGTAGGTATATTGATACATGCAAGCTGGGCTTACAAAAAATGTTTTTGTTGTTATAACTATCTACAGGGATATTTTTATAAAAAATAATAGATTTCTGCTGAAAGGCTGCACAAAAATTTTAATGGACAGTCATTTTGGAGTCCGCCCTCTGACAGTGCCGCTGGTTTGGTCCGTAACCCCCGCCTCCGCAAACACACACACTCCAGTGACCCACGGAGCTGCCCACCCCTCTGCAGGGATGCTGGCACGTAGCCTTTTCCTGCTCTTCCCTCATTCTCCTAGAACACCCCCCCGCCAAAAAAAAAACTGTTGCCGTGGAGTCGGTTCCGACTCTTAATGACCCTACAGGACAGAGTAGAATTTCCCCATAGGGTTTCCAACGAGCGACTGGTGGATTCAAACTGACCCTGTTGGTTAGTAGCTGAACCTTAACCACTGAGCCACTAGGACTAGTCCTCCAGAAATCCCCACAATGGAGGCCACAAAATTTGCCTGTTGGGTGCTGATGTCGAACTCTCTTCCTCTCCACTTCCTCCTCCAAGCCCAGCGCCTCCCCCTCCAGGCGTCCTCTCCCCAGTGGGGCTCAACCTTCTCACAAGGGTCTTCCAAGGGATGAGGGGCCCTCACTCCTGCTCTGAAGCCTTCTCGCCTTGCCTACCCTTCTCCGCTGGTAACATGTTCCCACCCTCTCTTCTGTCCGTGCCCCAACCTTCCCAGGCCAGCTACAGGTCCTGACACCGGCAAGCCGGCCCCCGCCGCGCGTGTACCCCCAGTGCCTGGCGTGCCGTTGCTTGGCTGGATGACCCCTCTGAGGGCCTCAGTTTCCTCATCTGTAGAATAGGTCAATGGTATCTCCCGAGGGGTCTCCGTGGTGGTGGAGGCGCGGGGAATCACCGTGGGCTGCACGAGTCCTTGAAACCCGTGTGGAGATAAGTCGACGCCCCTCCCCCACGACCAGCAAAGCCCCCGCGGGGAGCTGTGGGCAAGGTTGGCCCCGCGCGTGGGACAAGGCGCGCTGGCTCCGCGGTCGTTGATGCCCGGGGAGATAGGGGCGCACCTTACGTAACGGGAGACGGGCCGATAAGCGGGATCGCGCAGCCTGGCTTCCTCCACCTCTGGAGGTGGACTGCCGGTGCCGGAAGGGGGTGCAGGGCGCAGACTGGCCTCCCAAGAAGCTGCGTAGCGCCGGCCCCTGGCCGTCCCAGGTCCCAGGCCGGCGAGGGGGCGGAGAGGTGGACACGAGCAGTGCGCGCGCCAGGCAGGCTCGGGGCGGGGCTAGACATGCAGGCCCCGGGGCGCCTCCAGCGCCTGTGCCGCACCGGTGAGGGAAGGTCCGCGGGGTGCGCACGCCCCGCTGCCAGCCACGGCCGTGCGGGAGTGGGAGCCGGCTGGGACGCAGCGTCCACGGGGCGGAGGAGCCTGGCCGAGCCACCCGCCCTGGGCCTGCTCTGCCACCGTGGGCGTCGGGCCGCGCCGTCGGGCCTGGGAGTGCGCGGCTCCGCACGGCAGGCGCGCCCTGGCCAGCTCCAGGACGCTCTTGGCTCGCAGACTCCCCCCAACAAAAAAAATAAATAAATAAAAAATCTAATCAAGAAACCTGGATTTTCAGAGGGGCTCCAGTCACAACCCAGATAATTTTAATTAACAAGTACAAAAAGGCTGCTCCGGGCACTTGACAACAGGTGGCATGCAATTCTCTTACAATTGCGGCGGTGGGTCACCATTTCAGTCTTACAGGTGGGGAACGGGCGCGCCAGGCGGTGAGTGTTTTACTGATTCTGTAAATCAGGGTGATTTCAAGGGCGATTACAAAATACTTTGAGATGAATGCATAAAAAAAATAATAATAACATCCTAACACGGGATCCAATGAAACCAGTATTTGCCCCTAGTCCCTTATTTGTTTATATCAGCAACGGCTAATGAATGTTTTTATTTTATTGTATGGGTTATAATCCAATGTTGTCTTTATTTAGTTGCCCAAATTGTTCCCTTTGGTGATTTGGAGCTGCTTCAGGTTAGGTTCTGTGCTCTTTCCACAAACCTCATCTCTATGTTAGTATTTCCTTAATTTCTGGCACCACGGGATGCTCCAGGTTCATTTTGTATGTTCCTTGTCTCAGCCCTGGAATCAACCACTTCTCCAAGGAGACTTGGTTCCTTTCATTGCAGAGAGTGTTTTGAAATCAAGATGTGGACAGTAGGTGTGCTCGTGTTTATTGGGGTGGCAGCAGACAGTGATGGGGAATGTATGTATGCATACTAACTCATGCATATACATAGCTATATGGATCTATCTGTATATACACACAAACATACATATATATATATACATAATCTCCTTAGAAGCAAGGATGGTGAGACTACATTTCACATACTTTGGACGTATTATGAGGAGAGATCCATCCCTGGAGAGTGACATCATGCTTGGTAAAGAAGAAGGTCAGGGAAAAAGAGGAAGACCTTCAATGAGATGAACTGACACAGTGGCTGCAACAATGGGGTCAAGCATAACAATGATTGTGAGGATGGTGCAGGGCTGGGCAG